ATTGAGAAAATAGCTTGGGGAACTTATCGATGTCGGGTTCATCAAGCCATCCAAGTCTGCTTCGATGCTCCAGTTTTGTTTCAAAAGAAGCATGATTGTTCATTATGGCTAGGCATTCAGTATAAGGCTTTGAACAAGCTGACGGTTAAGAACAAGTAACCTATTCCGCTCATAACCGATTTATTTGATTAGTTGGGCAGTCTATGTTGGTTCTCTAAATTGGATTTGTGATCCGAATATTATCAAGTTCAGATAGTGACAAGGGATATAGCTAAGACTATGTGTGTTACTCGGTATGGATCCTATGAGTTCTTAGTTAATACCAATCAGATTAACAAATGCCTCGACAACGTTCTACACTTTGATGAACAAGGTACTACAACCTTTTCTTAATAAATTTGTGGTAGTTTACCTTGATGATATTGTTGTCGATAGCCATACTTTGCACGACCATGTGGAATATTTGGGGTTAGTTTTTGAGGCTCTTAGACAGCATGAGCTGTATGTAAAGAGAGAAAAGTGTTGTTGTAGTTTGTACGAGGTACCGTTTTTAAAGCATAGTGTGGGGGATGAGAAGATCCAGATAGACCCATCCAAGGTTAGCGCTATCTAAGAGTAGAAGCCGTCTACCAAGGTAAAAGAGCTGAGATCCTTCTTAAGATTGGCTAACTACTATCGTAGGTTCATTGAGGGATATTCGGCCATCGCTACACCACTTACAAACATGCTGAAAAAAGGTAGAGCGTGGGCATACGATGTAGTGTGCTAGCAAGCCTTCGTCTAGCTGAAACGAGCAGTGTGTAAGCAACCGGTATGAGGGCTATCGAACCATGCACTGCAGTACGAGGTGCACACAGATGCCACTGACTTTGTTATCGAAAAGGTACTAATGCAAACCAAGCATCCTATCATTTATGAGAGTCGCAAGCTAAACGATACCGAGTGACGGTATGCGATTCAGAAGAAAGAGATGTCGGTTGTGGTCCATTACTTGCGAACATGGAGGTATTATTTGCTAGGGGCTCAATTTGTGGTTTGAATCGATAATATGGCCACATCTTACTTTCAAAGCCAGAAAAAAATAAGTCCAAAGTAGGCTAGATGGCAAGACTTGTTGGCAAAATTTAACTCTACATTGGAATATAAGCCGAGCAGGGCTAATTTAGTGGTCGATGCACTGAGCTGAAGGCCACGCTAGCTGCCACCGGTGAGGTGCGAGCGAAACTGCTATCGCGCATCCAAGAATGCATGACGCACGACCCTACCGCATATTCTATACTGAAGCACTCCAAGGCAGGCAAGACTCGACGATTTTGGGTGAGTGATGGACTAATATATGCCAAGGGGAACTGACTCTATATGGCGCAGCATGGGGGCTTGCAAAAATTACTATTGAAAGAATGCTATGACAGTCACTGGGTAGGACATCCGGGGGCACACCGGTCGCTAGCGTTACTGAGCGTCGACTACTACTGGCCAAGAATGGAGGACGATATTGAGGGCTATGTCCGAACTTGCCTAGTGTGCCAACAAGACAAGGTTGAGCAGTAGAGGTCGAGAGAACTGCTCAACCCGTTGTCGGTGTTGGATAAACCTCGAGATAGTGTTAGTATGGATTTCATCATGAAGCTGCCTAAGGTTGATGGGTTCAACAGTATCATGGTGGTGGTAGACAGATTTTTGAAGTACGCTACCTTCATACCGGTTACAAAAGAATGTCCTACAGAGGAAGCGACCAAACTGTTTTTGAAACACATAGTGAAGTATTGGGGGATACTGCACACTATAATTAATGATCGAGATAGGCGATTTATCGAAAAGTTCTGGATAGAGCTGTTTAGATTGCTAAGGTCAAAACTATGCTTTTCCACTAGTAACCACCCATAGACCGATAGGCAGACTGAGCAGGTGAATGTACTACTGGAACTCTACCTGCAGCACTCCGTGCAAGGCACATAGACTGACTGGCCGAGGTGGCTCAACATGGCCCAGTTTTTGCACAACTTGCAACGTAGTGAGTCTACTGGCCACAGCCCGTTTGAGATTGTGATGGGGCAGTAGCTGCATATGCCCAGCGCCATTACCATAGGCTATATCAGATCAGCACCAACTACCTACAAAACTGTTAGGAGTTGGGAAGAGCATCATGACTTGGCTTGAGCTTGTCACCACAAGGCTACTAATAGGGTAAAAAAATGGGCTAATCATACTAGACGGGAGGCTCATTCAGTGTAGGGGATATGGAGATGGTCAAGCTATAGTTGGTTTTAAAGAACAAGGGTTTGCACAAAGGCCTTGTTCGAAGGTATGAAGGGCCATATCGGGTGGTTAAGAGGATAGGTAAGATGGCTTACAAGTTGGACATGCCGCTCAAGCCGAAAATGCATCCGATATTCGACGTAAGTATGCTGAAGCCCTACCATGGTGATGAGGGGGACCCTAGACGAGGAGTGAGCCACAAGGCTCCATTGGGCATCCAAGTAGCATATGACAGAAAGGTGGAAGAAGTGCTGGTTGATAGGGTACTCAGACGACAGCACCACATACCCCAACATCAATACCTTGTGAAGTTAAGGGGACTGCTTGAGAGTGAAGCTAGTTGGGAGTCTACGAAAGACTTATGGTAGTTCCAAGATCAGACCGATGCCTTCCACACGACAGCGACAGCGCTGCTAGCTTAGGTGGGAAAAGGTGTCACGGACTATAGTTCAAAGCATTAGAGGAGGCCCGAAGGTGTTTCGGAATGTCAACATATGGGGGAGTATTACTGGGAGAAAACCCCCACTTGCTAGCATGAGACAAATGCAAGCTGCCTAACAGGGGCACACAACACTAGCCCCTAGGCGAGCCACCCCGTACAACGCCCAGGCACACTGCTTATGGGAGGCCCAGACGAGCTAGACGACCTAGACACCATACCAGCCCACCACCCTAGCCCTTGTAATGGCTTGAACTATTGAAATTGTGACACTCCCGCCCAAAAATGTCTTGTTCACTTTTGGAGGGAAATTTTAGCTATAAATAGCCCTTGTAAATGATATGTACAGCTGATGACTTAATGAATACACACTTTTCACTCTCAAATTCTCTCTAGTGCTCTTTTCTCCTCTCTTTACTTCAATCTTTTGCTACATGCTTGCTTGCTGGCCTAAGGCCTAGTGTGCTGTGCGTGTGCTTACTTACTGATCAGAAGCTGTGTATCGTTATGTGGGTGTGTTGTGAGCCTGTTGACCGAAAGCTGTGTGTTGTTGTGCTTGGGTGCTGAGTGCTTGCTGGGCTAGTGCTTAGTGTTAAGGTGAGTGTGCTTGCATTACATATTGCATATTGTATTGTTTTTTGATCCTAGTGGCCTTGAAAATCAGCTGGTAGGCATACCTTAAGCTAACTTGGATTCCAGAACCAAGTTAAAGGTTGAACCCAAAACCACACGGTTGGGTGGTCTGAAGAACCACCATGTGATACTACCTTATACTGACTATTTAAACTATACAAATTGCTACTTTCAATATAGCCAAGCTATAATACCTTAATATATCTATTTATAAAATTCTTATTTAATGATAATAAAATAAATAGGGATTCTAATATGCTTTCCTTTTATGAAATTCTTAAATAACTATTAGATAATTTAAACTTGACAAAAAAAGGGAGATATAAACATATTAATGTTTTAAGTATTAATTAATATTATAAACATTGAAAATTAACATAAAATAATAAAAGCCTATAAACTTTATTATTATTAGTATATAAATATAAGAAACACTATTATCTATAAGTAAACTGTAATACCATATGATATTAACATTGTAACACTGTACTATGCATGATTATGATTGTTAAGTATTGTTATGTAATATATTATTAAATATTTACATTATATTATATAAACTGTTAGATATAATCTCTATGCTATTATTATTTCAGACTTTATTCTATACATAATAAAATATATTATGTATTTGCATATAATTATATAAAAAACTTTATACTTGTAGTATTTATAGTAATAATTTAAAGGTTTGGGTATTAAAATTAAAAAATTAAAAAATTAGGTTAAAATTCAAAATAGTAAAAAATAAAGCATAATATATCATAAGATAAAAAAGTATAATTTTGGAACATAATGTAATGATATAAATTTTAATCGATATATTTAAATAGGCATATAAAAGTCAATATGTAACATAGGGAACCTAAGAGTTTAAAGTGTTTTTTTTTTCTTAAATGAACATAATTTTAATATATGCTGATAAGAAAAAATGAATGTACAATTGGGGAGAATGGAAATATTAATTAATTATTCTGCTTTTTCTAATAAAATAATTGAATTATTATTTCTAATGGTTCAATAATAAAAAATGACCTTTAGAATAATCTAATACTACAGCTAACTAAGAATATATATAAATATAAATATAAATATAAATATAAATATATAAATGTATATATATTCACTTTTTAAGGCAAGAAATTCCAACAACTTGAGATTGCATAAAAGCAAGCATTACCCAGGTAAAAACGTAGCATGTATTAACAATATTCTATATTTCATATACACTTTTAAATACATTCCACTTAGCTTGGACTATATGTAGTCTTAATTGAATACAATAAAAGTTAAAAAGTCGAAACTTCAAGTTTCGATAAAAGTGGGGAGAATTTTCAACATTATCCCAAAGAAAATGTATAGGTTTCAGGTACATCTCCAATAGATATTTCTGCCTTGTAAAGGAAGTATAGGTGGAATGTACTTTCAACTGGATTGATGTTACATGGCAATCCTGATCCATATCAAGTTTGATTCTGCAATGAGACTTGATGGAGAAGTTGTTTCAATTCCACAGAAGAAAAGACAAGCAGACTGCTTCAAGCCATATCTCAGACCAAAAACAACATTATCTATATGTAAAATGGATGCTCCATGGAACATATGTATGGGGAGAATCTCATCCTTCAAGCTTTTCTTCCTTATTAAAGCATAAAAAGAACAGAAAGGGTTACATAAACAAGCCCAAGATATTAGTTTATTTTGATTTTGATTTCTCTTTTTCCTTTATCCAAATAAGGGGTTACATTTGCTATTCCTACTCCAGGCATCAAGTTCCCCAAAGAGTTAGCATTCTATGTAACAAAAAAATCATTGCCAATGTATGCTCATAAAGCTTGTTATTTTACTGCAATTATTTGTTGTTATGAAGCAAAGGTCATCTTTTCCTTGATCCATCCTCTGTTGCCTCAACACTCACCCAAAATGTTGCACATACTGGCCTGTGATCAGAGAACCGGGACTCCTTTCGCTCGTAAGAGAGCTGATATATTTTGCTTCCACGCCATAGGATTCTGTCACACCTGGAAAACTTCCTAACTTGTTTAGATCTTATAGTTTTGAACATTCTAGTTTGTTTAATACTGATAAATTATATGTACCTACCAAGCTGGAGTTCTCCTTTTGCTTTTTGTTTCTACTGTCTCTCCAGCATAACTGTCTGAGTTATCAGAGTATTTGTATGTTGGTGCAAAGTAGATTTTGCCTTCTTTCCATCCCTTAAACACTCTCCCTGCTTCCCTTTCGATCTTAAGCTGTGTATCCAATGAGCAACTAGTTCCATATTAGTATGATGTAACAGGAAAAATCCTGCAATGATTGAGATGCTTACAAGCAACTCTACTAATCATAAATTCAGTTAGAAACATAAGGCAAAAACTAAGCAGGTTGAGGCATTCACCATGTCAGGTAGCAAAGAAAACTAATATGGTTTCAGTATAATATTTGTATCCCAAGATTGTCGTTATTTGTCAAATTCCATGATGAATGTTACTGTTTGTGCTTTATTTACTGAAAAGCATAAGATGGGATTGGCTAATGTATTTCCAGCAGCATACATTAGCAGTCATTTATCCAAACTAAAATTATCAGCCACCAGTCAGAATTTATCAACATCTTTGGTGCCCCAGTTTAATACAGATTAAGTCAAAAGATATATTGTTCTTTTGAACGCTATGAGAAGCAAAATAATTATAATCTTTGACACAGAGCTCAAACTTTCACAAATTTTCAAGTTTTTATCTATGGTGTATAAGAAGCTACCTGATCTTTGTCATATAGTGCATCCCAGGCTTCCTCTTTCAGCAGCTTTCCAGTATCAGAGTAACTCAAAGCTATCCTGTAATTCAAATCTCCTAGCCATATGACCCGACTGGGGAAATTTTCCAGGGAAGAAGTCAACTAATCAGAGATTCTTAGATGTCGAAAACTGCTATTAGATTAGAACAGGGATCTTTGAAAAGCTTCAAAAAATTCTTGGCTTCATAGATACTTACTCATGATCCAGAATTTTCTCAGGCACCCGACTACCAGATGTTCTGCAGATCCCTGGAAACTGTGTGTTTCTAAGTATCTCCACTACATCCACATTTCTCCTAAGTTCATCTCCTTCTTTCTCTCCTGATGCCAAATGACAGCACAAGAAACAGAAGCTTGTCTTGTGGAAAATCATGCTTACAGAAATACACCCCTGCATCACAGAATGAATATTGTAGTATAACGTATTTGTATGGAATAAATGTTCATATGGATATCCATATGCAAACAATGCATCTCGAGCTGGTTCAGTTCTCAACTTACTTTGTTTCCAAGGCAACCAAGGATTCCACGACCTACGCAAGAGATTCTCAGGTGGCTTACATGTTGCACAAGCTCTTTCCTCATCCACACAGTGAGGAAAATTCCAACCATTTGCTTACATGCCACAAGGCCATACTTAATCTGGTTTGTATCAAAGTTGCTAGATCCATCTTCATCCTCTTCTGAAGAAAATTCATTTTCATTTGTTTGTGATTGTGGGCACCGGAAACAGAATTCCTTGCCATTCTTCCTTTCCAAGTCAGTAGGGCAGTTGCAACTCTTTAGCCTCCTCTTACTCTCGGTTCTGAAAGCCTTACTGACCTTTCTAAGTGAAGTTTTCTGGAAAACCAGTGAGCCCCCAGAAGATGCAATGGATCTTGGTCCTCTTAATGGCACATTATGTGCTTTGTTCAGTGACTGATTAATCAAGGCAAGCCATTTCGCTGCAGGCTCATTATCTTCTATAACTAGCACATTTCCAGCATTCAATGGAACAACTTCCTGAAAACTAAAGATCCAAAAGAACAATTTAAATTAAAAAAAAAACCATCATTTGCATGATAAAAGCATCTTTACTCAAAATTATGGTAGTCAAATCTTTTAACAGAAGCATTTAAATGAATTTTTTCTTGTCAACACTGACAGGCAGGTCCTGCTAAATGCCTAAACCCCAATGTCAGGTGCTAGCAACTTTTCCAGTGTGTTATAACATACAACACCAAATTGTTCTTAAGGGACAATGAAATATGACCTTTAGTAATGAAACTATAATTTCGGAAGGCATCCTACCAAAGATATCTTAACACCCTGGCAGAGAATAAGCTGTACGGTAAAAAGCTTTTGACACTAGATTATGAGAAAGAAAGGTATCTTAACTTTTCTTTAAGTCTATCCATATTTTGTTGTCATGAAGAAGAAATTCTAAGTTCCAAACAGAAACTCAAAACTAAATATGAATCTGCGAATTGCAAGGCAAAACCTGAGAGAGACAGAGAGGCAGAAAGAGAATTACCCTAAAACATATATGTCCGATTCTTCACGGACCTGAAGAATATCATCCAGATCGAGTTTTCTATCAGGAGATTTGCCTCCTACATTCCATGTCGCAACGAAAACACTAACAAAGCAACCAAATGAACCAGAACAGTTCAGTTAATCCAACAAGCATGCCTGTGTTTAAAAGGATGGAGATAAAAAGGAAGAAAATGCAATGTAATGACTACCGGAAGGATAGATTCTCACTAGGCACTTTTGTGCTTACACCTCTATAAAGCAGAGGTTCAAGTGGCAAATCATATTGTCCTTCTGTAGAAAACAAAACAACAGGCAAGAAATCAAGAAAGATACAAAGATTAGAGTGAAAGTCCAACAAGAAAGGGAATTAACTGCAGTTCATGACAGAAAAAAAGACTTTCTTTTACGACCAAACATTGTGGCTGGAACTGTAACACTTAATTCTCTACCAGTAGTTGCTTTGAACTAGGAAGAAGAATTTTTAAGAGGCAAGGAAGAGAAAATAAATACGTTACTATTATTGGACAGAAGTGATAGAGAGAACCAGAGAAAAATATCCTCTCCTTTGCTTCCTTTCTTACTCTTAGTCTTAGATAAAAGTTCAAACAAGAATATATTCTCAAACAAATTGCCATTTATCCCCCTCATATAGTCATTTGTCTGTTCCTTAGATTATATCTGTTCAAGACATTATATCCACTATCTCTTTGTTGCACAAAGACCACAAAATACCCCACATGGGCTCCACTTTTTCACTTCATATACGTATACATGCTTTCATCATCATCATTGCAGTTTGGACTAACCTTTGAACTATCATCTAACCAGATAAAGCAAGGATAAAACAAGATCCTTCCATACAACTAGACTTTTCATTTAGTTATTTCATTTCCTACTTGTTCTTACTATTTACTTCTTAAAAGTTTTCTCCAATTAAAAGTAAATGGTAAAAACCCAGAATTCCAATTGATTCAAAACCAAATAAACCCTTTAATTCCACAAACAAAAACCAAAAAAAAAAAAAAACGAAAGCAAGTAATAAAAATAAAACTAAATGGAGCCATAGATAAGCTTATGCTGATTGCTTTCCACGGAAAAGGGGAAGGCAAAAGAATAGTATCTTTGACAAAATAATAATAATTATAATTATAATTATAATATTAAAGAAGAGACAGCAAGAACATTCTCTGTGCCTATCTATCTTCTTAGGGAAGAAAATAATGATAATTGGTAAATGGTCATATTTGATACCATAAGCACTCACCAGAAGAACTAATTGAAACTTCAGTCTCTTTACTTTGATTTCTCCCCTTCACACTAAATATTTTACCGATCAAAGACTGAAAAATTAAAAAGGAAATAGGAAAGATTAACAAATATCATTGAAAATATTGAACATAGAAAATACTAACAGAATTGCCACAAGGTGGGGGGAAATAAGAGTTAATATTAAATTAAAGCAAAAGAATAAGGCATTTACTGAAGTCTGCTGGTTTGTCCTGTCTTGATTCATTAGAGTCATGCCAGAGAGTCCAACTCCAATCATCAGAAACCTCTGGAAAACTTAGAACCTGCAAATCAAAAAGCTCCTAAACTTTTAAAAAGAAGGAAAATTTTGTTTGAATACACGCATATAATAGGAAATAATACTGGTAAATTTTGAGAATCTTTCATATAGAGTGCATTGAAAATCCAACAAAAAAAAAGACCAAACTTTCTTTTTTTTAAAGTCGATCATAAAACTAGTTACCAGGAGAGGAAAAACAAAGGGTATGGCTTCAACTTCCAAGCCTATGGAGGAAGGAAGAATCTGATTATGGAGTATTCAGAAGGAAGTCAACTGAATTGATGGCATTATATACAGAAGTAAAGAATTCTTCTTTCTTATTTTCTATGAGAAGTTGGTCAACAGAACAAGTTAAAGGAGACATAAGGGTCAAAGAATACAAAGAAAGACAGAAATGGAAGGTAAGTAACCTGAAAAACTGTTAGAATGTTGGATGATGTTTTCCAATGTTCTAGAACTGGTAGAAGCCAATGGCCTGTAAAAGAGAAGTTGGTAAGAGGTCACAAGTCAAGGTATTCGAGTTAACCCAAAAAAGCTGTTCCCTTAGATTTATGTGCCAGCACTGCAGGACAAGGTTAAGAACCCAACTGTTTTTGTTTAATGTTATAAATATGGACATGGGTTGTTTTGGTTTTTGATTGGTCTGGTTGAGATAGAAAGATTTTCTCGAGAGAATCAAGTGGAAAAGAAACGGTCAAAAGTGGGGATTGAATCTCAAATGTCCCCTCAAGAAAACTGTCTTCATTCTTGTGTAAAGACTTGGATGCTTTTGCTAGGTTGTTGTTTGTTCTTTCTTCCTCTCTTTGTTGTTCCCATTGCTTTTGGGTTTGTGAGCTTTGAAGGAAAGTTAAGAAAATCCTTTTATGCCTTGGGAAGTAGTAGGTAAAGGTGAAGCCAAGAATTTTATCTGGCATCCAAAAGCGATACCAGTAATGGATAAAGGTCTAGAAATGAAAACAGTGAAAGAAGTTTGGGGCTGTGTTAGATGTCTCTATATAGGTGTTTTAGGTGCAATGAATGTGGTCAATGACAAGTGCAATCAGGTTGGCTAACTGATGTAGTTTAAACCATATGAGTCTATTATTGCAGTTGTAGAAAACAATGACAACATGTGCAGAAACGTTAAGTTCATGGACAATGGAAAGGAGGTACTCCAACATTTCTGGGAAGAGGTTAAAGGAAAGGGAATGAATTCTTTTGACTCTGCTCATAAAGACTTAGCCAAAGATAGAAACGGTACCAATGAGTACAAAACAATTTTAAAAATAAAAAGGTAAAGTTATGTCGAGATTATTATTATTTTTGAATTTTTATCAAATTTCATTTTAAATTAACACTATTGTCGCAATACATGTAAGTAATAATCATACTACTTGTACTTGACTGTTAATATTAAACCAAAATCATGTACTTATGCACGTTAATCCCAAATTATTGGTCATACAAATCATTGGATCAAAAATTTTAAACCCTTTCTTTGAGTTAAATCACTGATTAAACATAAATTTTTCTATAAGAAAACAAGGCATTAATTCTATTGGTCCAAAAGGGATAAGGATTGCACAATTGGATATCGGTTTTCGAAAGAAGACAAACAACACAGGCCATGCCATGCCAAGCCAAGCCAAGCCATGCCATGCCCACGGTCGGTAGCTATACCTTAAATCGAAGCATACAGATCCCCAAAGTAGAGGAAGCATGGTTGCAGAATTTCTGAGTTCCTTCCCTGATTTCTAATGGATGATATTTGGCTTTTTCCATTCAATTCATCCATTTGTTATTTTAGTCTAAACTTAGCTGTTTCCTCATTTAATATTCATTGAATTCAAGGTTGTCTCTCATAAGGAATGCATTTGCATGGGTTTTCTTCTTTCTCTTTAATTTAAAACATAATAAATTTAACTCAACTTTAGCCCCTCTGAACTCACTCAAGCAGCTCCACAAACCTATATTTGACCAGCTCCATTGATTTTGAAATTTGCAATAATTGTTGGTCCTAGGCTGTTCCTTTCTGTCAACCAAGCAACAACAAAGGGGAGAACATAAATATTAGTTAAAAACAATCTGAAACTTTCTTTTCTGCTCAGATCATAGGATGTACAGTCTTTTAGCCGCTCAAGCCGGTCAAAGGCATTCCGTGGCCTTTAAAGGCTTAGACCAGCTAGGCTTCATGGTCACGGTCCCCGCCCTAACCATAGAGTTTGATCGTCACAACCGATACCAACAATTCATTTTCTTATATAGTATTATAGTATTTCGTGGCTTGCATGACTCTGGAATTTGGGAGAAACCTATGTCCCCTTATCCAACGAAGCAAGGAATCATCCAGCAGGGCTAGGCGTTTTCAACTCCCTTTTTCATGGTACATTACAGATCAGAAACACTTTCTTGAGCAATCGTGCTTTCCATCTTTATAAATAAATGCAATAAGAAAATCTCTCTCTCTTTCCTTCTTTTTCTATTAGAGACTCGTGCTTAGTGTCACGGTTAGGGGTATAAATGAGTTGCTACAATACAAGTATCTACGGATATTCGATCCGATTATATAAGATTTGAAGATTTTATATTCAGTTAAGGGACAAATTTGGACAAGGTTTTTAATACTCGATTTGGGTTTAGACAGGTTTCAGATATCAGCCTTAGTTACTCTAAATCCAAACCCAATATATAATGTTTCAAAAATTTGTAATTTGTGAAATTCAAATGTTATCTTCTTTACTTTCACCACAACCTTTGTCATCTTAATGAACCTCTTTTTTATAAATTAATAAATATAATATTTATTTTTTATATACTTTTTAATTATTTAAGTTGTTGTTCGAGTACTAACAGATAATGTTATATTATTATGATTCAGTTTTAATTAATGTTTTATGATTTTATTCGGATTTTAATAAGATTCATATGCTTTCTTAATTAAATTGATTTGGAGTCCGGTATCTTACCCATTTACATTCCTAGTCACGGTCTCATAGAAGAGTTGTGAATCCCACATCGATTAGATATCAAAGGAAGACTGAATATTTAAATGTTCACATTAGCCTCAACCTACGAGATATCTTTTGTAGAATAAAACTATGAGACCTGACTTAATGAATCAAAACATATAATGCCTTACAAATTGATGTAAACCATAATAGCTACAGGACCAATATACTCATTTAAGAAAAAAAAGATTCTAGTCTTGGACTACCAAAACCAAACATCATGGTCAATCAAACTTTCCTGCTAGAAAGAGACTAAAGCTCATCTATTTCTAGTTCAACTGGTTCTTAAATCAAATAGAGCCTAACTAAAAGATGCAAGTAGATCACATTCATTTGCTGCATAAAAAGGAAAATCTTAACACGATAAGAAGTCCAAGGACCTTAGTATTTATATATAGAGACCAAAAGAACACAACAATTACATAAGGAATACAGATGGCAAAGTATGATATGCTTCAACATTGCATTTTCACCACTAAAACAGCATTAGGCTCATGACCATGCACCTTCAAGCGGTAAATGAAGGTATGAAAAAGGCTTCCATGGTTCGAGGAGAAATCTAGCCTAATCGTGTCAATAACGCCAACACCTGTTGCTTCCAGTACATCAACAGTCCACACATTACTCTTTCCAAGGTCATACTTGAATTCTTCCCAAAGAAACATCTACTAGACAATAGACTTTTGCAAACAAAATGGATTCCATCAGAAGCATTCTGTTTTTATTTTTTGACAGCTCACCAACAAATACCAACAGATACGAGATTGACTTGTTGTCGATGAAATATCGACGTAGATTACCAATGAAATTAGATCTATCAATAAATGGTCAATAATTCTTTGACACGCATTAAAAGTGAATGACGTAACAAATAATGATTGATTATTTTTGTCGGTATTTTAGATATAGATGAAATTTGCCTACAAGATTGTTGACCGAATATGTGGTCAGAATATAGAATAACGTGTCAGTAGAAATCTATCAAAGATATGTATTTAAAAAGTCATTTAGTTTTCATCAATATTACCGATGAAATTTCTATTGACAATGCCTCACTTTTGTCATCGATGAGATTTTCGTCAATATTTCGAATTAATGAACCCACTATGGCTCTTTCCCTCCCATTTCCCTTTTTTGCTTCCTTTCTCTTCCCTCTCTCCCTCTGCCTCGAGCATCTCGACCCACACTCCTAAACCCTATCATCGTTGATTCTCATTGCTCGAACGTGACTCATTGGTGACCTAACCCCTCTACCACTGAACCCACACTTTCCAGTATTGATTCCACCCCAGATCACTAAATTTGGCACACTCATAACCACCTTAAGTATTTTTGCTTCATAACTTGTGTGATTGATGGTTTGTGCTAGTTCTTAGTTTTACATGCTTGTGTTGCTTTTAACAAATAAAGGATTTGAAGGAAAAGATGAAGATGTAGAAGAAAACGATGATAATGAAAGCGATGATGATGAAGATGACAACAAAGAAAATGAGTTCACATGTTCAGATAATGATTGATGATTAATTTTTTTTCCTTATTAATGATGTAAAGATGTTGACATTAAAACTTATTGATGGTGATTCGTTTGTCATTTTGTTCTGAATTCTTGTTAACATTCACATCTTTTTTATTTTCATATGAATATATTATTCAATGATTATGCATTGTATTTATTGACAATTGTTAATAATGGGTTATTTTCCTCTACTAATAAAGTATTGCACCATGGTTAAGTTCAAGACTACTGCAGGCCATCGAGGACAATCGAGTGGCACAAATACTTCACCTGCATAACCTCTTGTGCTACCTTCATCAACCACAACACCGATGCCACATTTGTCCTCTACACCACCTACAACCATTCCATTGTCTGTTTCGAGCTCTACATCATCAATTACTCAAGTCACTCCACTATTAGAGTCGTTACCTCTTACAGCATTGGCAGAGGTCAGTAACTTTGCTACTACCAATGCTGATGCACTAAACTCTACACCATAATCTAAGGACCAAGGGCCCTCCGATCCTATCGGAGAAAGGTAATTTTTACTAATTAACTAATTTCATTCATCAAATTAAGTTCAGTAATGCATTCTAATAAAGATGTATTAATTTTGTAGTACTTTGCAGAGACTAGAATAACTCCAACCATCACTAGAATAATAATGAGTAACTTTTGTGAGCTTTGGCCTACATGGAGGCATGCTTTTATCAAGGTGAAGGATGCCATGCGGCATAAATTTAAGGTATCATGTTGTCTTCAAGAGGTTGAAATATTAGTCCTTTTTGTATATTAATATATTTTTTCTATAACACTAATATATTTTTTGTTACATCCCTAATCTAAAGACATGATTGGCCCAAAGGCCTAAATAGGTATAACCCACAAGACCCAAGAAAGCCTTTATCTCATCATTCGTTCATCTTGAAACTAAATCATTTCATTTATAGAGACTAATAATTAGTTTTATACATAGCAAAATAGTTTTAAAACGTCACGTCTACCCACCTCGATCTAGTTGTTGACTTATTATAAAATGGAAAGACTATGTCCTCACTCTAGCTAAATCCTTAGAGCTTCGTTCGATCCTATATATATAACCATACAATCATAAACAAATTTTAGACTATGAATCTCTGATTTTGAGTTTAAGCCATCATTAACCTTAACCAAACTAGCTTAATCTAGCTGTTTAATTAGTTAATCTACTATTCAAATATAGATTAATGATTCATAAGCTTAAAACTAACATTTCCTTACCTTAATGAGCTTAAAAAGTAGTAAAATCAATTTGGGTTCAAAACCTTTGGAGAAAAAAACACAAATCTGTTGAAAAAGCATAAATTAGAGGTTTGAAGTTTAAAAGGTAGAACCATTACCTTTTTATTTTCATAAATCAAGATAAACTTAAAAATCCTTAAAAATTGGGACCTTTAAGAGAAAAAGAGCAAGAAAGGGGTTGAAAGTTGTTGAAAATGGCAAAAAGTGGCGACATAAAGCTAACAAGGGTTTAAG